CAGTTTGATCCAGTTTAGCATGTAGGGTGTGACTGAACCCTAGCAAGGGAATGAATCACCAGCCTCGGGTTATACTATTAAATATGATGACTCTGACCACATCCTTATAGGTTAACTTCCCCAATTAAAACACCCTTAAACATTTAGTACAATAAAATATGGCAGCCCCATTAAATTCTAATTCAAAATGCAAACAATGAACAAAGTAACTGTACTCAATTACACATTGCGGAATTAGGAATTAAGTGATATGCTTTTACATAAAGTCCACTCCAATGCTTTTAGACTTAATTGGCTGATATATGGGAAACAAGCCCAGGAAAAGAATGCCTTGGGCCCTCAAAGCAGATCTGAATACATGAATAGGATAAAATAAAACAGGAGTACGACAGGCTGAAGGAACTAGTAAGCAGAAACAATGTCTCCTCCAAACACCTGGGTGCCAGGTTTGTCCTGCGCCCCACCCCATCTGGCAGGGCCTCCTGCACGGCCCTGCTGCTAGGCGTTCATGTCCACGCTTGCTGTTTGCGTGTGCTCAAGCAAGCGTTTTCCCACTGGGAGGGGCTGACGGCTGTAGGTTGGGAGCTTGGCTTTCATCCGTGCCCTAGGGGACAGTCCGCTTGCAGCTCCAACAGAACTTAGCCAACTCCAAGTTAGAGCTTTGTCTCTCATGGAGAAATAAACTAAATTTGCTCACTACTAAGTGTGTTCTGAAATAGAGGCAAAGGCTGAACAGTATTCTAAGGAGCTAAGTACTCTTCTTTCTCCACCCTAACTCCTGGTGGTTTACTAATCCACCATTGTGCAGAGGATACACCTAGATCCCTTAACTCTGATTCATCCTCTATTGCTTTGAAGCTACTTATCAAATGCTTCTGTGACACCTTTTTGATCTAAATACTTCCACTCCAATTTCCCTTATTCTTTTGAAGAAAAACTAAGTTTATGGGCAAGAGTGGGATTTATTCCACTAAATTTTAGGAGTTACCAGGTGTGGTTTTTCAGTGAAAAGATTTGATGATGCATTAAGGAACATTTAAACTATGTTTAAACAACAGAAACAAAACAAGCAGAAATTATACAGGTGTATGGTATTTTTAATTATCTGAATGCTTTCCATTAAAAACTAAATAAAACAGACAAAAAGTTCCTAAAAAGAAGTAGAAAGAAAATTTCTTAACATGGATTTAATGAAAAAAATAACATTATCAATGACCATTTATACCAAGCTCCAGAACTATTACTTAGAATCTCTTAAACCAACATATGACTTTATCATTGCCACCTCTGTCATAACCCAAATTTTTCATTTCTTTAGGGTAACTGAACATACCAGAATATGCAACAGGTCATTTGTGATCTTGTGCATAGGCCAAGTACTGAGTATTTTTTATCATCTACAATTTCCCCACTATGTGAAGAGGAAATGTCATTTTCATTGTTGGCTAATGCTCTCAAAGACCTTGATTGCAACTGCAAGTTAATTTAGTCATTTCTTAAGGTCATCAATAATTTTCACAAATCTCTGTATCATTTGTCTGCAAGCCTGTGCTATCACAATTGTCCTGGGGAGCAGGTCCGTTTCTTGGAATCTTGTTTGCCTAAAATTGCATAAGTAGTGTGCAGAAGAGTAGCAGGGCTTGGGAGCCCAAAGCTATCACTTCCATTTCATGTAAAAGGCGATGACCTCCACTGTGTGTGTAAAAGGCACATGACTCTCAGCATACAGCTCGCCCAGTAAGGTTTTGTTACTAATACTATTGGAAATACAATCTATCTCATAGGAATTAGGTTTTTCAAAAGACTAACCCATATTTTTAAAAAGCTGGGACAGAAACATCCACATAGTCAACCTTTTCCAAATATTTCTTGAGTGCCTAACTTATAACCCTTTCCTTTTAACTTTGTGAATCACTTTTATTCTACAGTATCTATAAGTTATGATATAACAAACTTCTCTTCATTCACATGACTCTTTGCTCTAGAAAATTAGGTTCTCTATGGAAAATTTTAGGATACAAAATTGTTAGTAAAATACTGATTATTGATGTTCACATTCATTTCATTTTTATCATATCCTATGTGAAAATACTAATGAAAGTGTGCCGGTCCAAATCAATGTCATTGACTACAGACTTTGCCAGCAGAGCTTCTGTTATTACAGACTTTGCCAGCAGAACTTCTGTTATTACAGACTCTACGTACTGCTCTGTCGTTATGTCAGATCAATATTCTAAGTCTTTATTAGACATGTCCTTCAAAAATCACACTCAATCCATTATTACAAATAACACTGGTGCCAGGAGCCAGTGGCTCATGCCTGTAATCCTAGCTACTGAGGAGGCTGAGCTTTGTGGATCACAGTTTGAAGCCAGCGCGGGCAGAAAAGTCCTCAAGAGACTCTTATTTCCACTTAACCACTCAAAAACTGGAAGTGATGTTGTGGCTCAAAGTGGTAGAGCGCTAGCCTTGAGAAAAATAGCTCAGGGACAGTGCCTAGGCCAAGTTCAAGATCTGCTACTGAAAAAACATAAAAAGGAATAACACTGGTTTACTTTTCTGGCAAGTGCTGTTTCCTTCTCACCTCCAGAGCAACAGCCCCTGGAGTCTCTCAGGTATGACAGACAGCCTTCTGTGTAAGGGCACCTTTGGTCCAGCACAACAACCTTGAGGCTCCACAGGCTGGTAAACCTCTGCTGTGTGTACAGCCTCCTCCACAGGAGAGACCCTGTGCCCCCAAGGTTAGGAACCAGGCCACAGGCCATTGTAGATAAAATCAGAAGTAAACAATAAATCTTTGCTCCAAGTAAACATAAAAACAAAGCCCAATTAAATGCCAATGCTTCCACAACAAACCCAAAGGTATAGGAATCCTTTTAAGGAAAAACAGCTTTTCTATGTGTGATTATTCATATCTAACATCCCCAAAGCAACTCTCAGTGACACCTCAGTTGGTGATAAGGTTATATCTTTTGTTTATGGAGTGAATCACTGCATTGAACAGGAAGAAATTCATACATTTCAATTTTCCCACTGAATTCTCACATGCTAGAAGAAAATCTCAATTTTTTTTTAAAGTATAGAACAGTTGGAGTACTTTATAAACAGAGCTCTAAGATGAAAAGTTTCTTCTGGTGAAAGAAACCACAGTAATATTTATGAGGCATATGATATCTTAACAGAACTTCAGCAACAAAGAAATCTTGCAAACACTCAAACATGACATATGGGTTTTTCTTTAATCATGAATTCTCACAAAGAAAACAAAGCAAAGTGGGAAAACCAGAAACTCAAAAATAAAGCTAAACAGTTTTCTAAAATGACCAGGGTGCCAAAATGGAGGTTCAGATTAAATAATATTCCCATGGTCCAAATTCTTACCAAAGAAATAAGAGCTCTATCACACTAAACTTCTCTAGGAAATGTTAGGATCTTCGACATAGACAGAAGTGTGTAACACATGTATGTTGTTCATTCTTATGATACTTGTGAGTAAGAGACAGTGATTTTTCAAAGCAAACTATATTATTAGAATAAGAAACTGCTTTGATTCTACCTGAAACATTCGAGGAAGAGAGGAGACACCTTGAAGATGCACTGTTGGCATGAGCCCTTCGAGTACCACAGACAAGGGGCAGGGTTTGTCATATGTGTAGGCTGACCAGCCACCCAGCCTCCTCTTCTCCATCACCTGAGCAGCTCAGGGGCAATGCCTGCACCCATGCCGACTACCCCTTCCGGCACGGTGCCACTAAGAGCACTTCATTTTGAACAACTGTAGGCAACTGGATCCTAGGTTTTCTTCATCCAGCCACCTACAGCCACCTCTCTCTCAACACTGCTCCATCAAGGGGAGCACGGCTCCTGGGTGTGGGTGCGTGGAGATTGTAAAAATTCCCAAATAGAAAGTGAGCATGATGCCAGGCGCTGGTGGCTCACACCTGTAATCCTAGCTATTCAGGAGGCTGAGATCTGAGGATCGTGGTTCAAAGCTAGCCCAGGCAGGAAAGTCCGTGAGACTCTTATCTCCAATAAAGCACTAGAAAACTGGAAGTGGTGCTGTGGCTCAAGGGGTAATGTGCTTGCCTTGAGCTGAAAAGTGCAGGGACAGTGCCCAGGCCCAGAGTTCAAGCCCCACAACGAAGGAAGGAAGGAAGGAAGGAAGGAAGGAAGGAAGGAAGGAAGGAAGGAAGGAAGGAAGGAAGGAAGGAAGGAAGGAAGGAAGGAAGGAGGGAAGGAAGGAAGGAAGGAAGGAAGGAAGGAAGGAGGGAGGGAGGGAGGGAGAGAGGGAAGGAAGGAAGGAGGGAGGGAGGGAGGGAGGGAAGGGAAAGAGGGAGGGAAGGGAAAGAGGGAGGGAAGGGAAAGAGGGAAGGGAAGGAGGGAAGGGAAGGAGGGAAGGGAAGGAAGGAAGGGAAGGAAGAAAGAAAGAGAGCACAAGACAAGAGATGGGGGTAGGGGAAGAAGAGGAGCGGGGGTTCAAGTCCGAAAGAGAAATGTGTGAATTCAACCCTGTAGCTGATCACCAACGTGGCCTCAGGTTTTTCATCCACCAAACTGGATGTTAACAGCCCTGAAAATGAGACAGCATATACAGGACCTAACAGCGTCTCGCACCACAAGCCATTCCTAGTTAATGTTTGTACTCAATCAGATCAGATAATCAGTTAAATGAGTAATCTATGGTTTTACTTACAGCTTCATCTATTTGAAAGTATCTTCAGGTCTTCAAAATTATAATAAATAAAACCAAGGATAATTACTGAGATTAAAATATATGGTTTCCAGTAAACATTTTTGTTGATTTAACTTTTTATAAATAAAAGCATAGACTTAAGAGATAGCCTTCCTCATATGCCACTCACAAGACCTGTATTTACTGTGTGCGTCTGTTTCTAGTTTAGAGAGAAAACCTCTGATTGTGGGAACATGATGCTTTTGATTTTCTAATTTCCTGTCATGGACCTGTTACCTCTATATTGCAGGGAGTTTTAATTCTGTACCTGTATTTATGAATGATGGCGTTGAATAGTTTTCCATCTCTCCAGCAAGTGGTGAAGTTTTCACACCGGACCCCGGCATAGCCCTCAGTGGCCTGCTGAGTCCAAAGCAGCAGCCTCTCCTTTGCAGACATGTCCTCCGACTCTCCCGTCACATGGATGTCAGAGATCTACACAGAACAGAAAGGGTTAAAGCATTAGGGAGTGTGTGCAGGCCAAGAGCCTACTATCTGCAGATGGAGGGGCTTACAGCATTGAGCCTACTATGTGCAGGGGCCTACAACATCGATTCACTCCATCCTCATACATCTCTCTTGGAAGCTCGGTGTTTCCCAGTTTACATGGGAAAGCTGCACTTCAAACAGGATACATAATGGTAACAACAACTCTTACAACTCAAACTTAATGCACTTATATCCAATTTAAAAGCATGTTTTCCATTACGCCAAAACTTCACAGCAATAAAAAGAAACTCTACATTCTTCTTTGCTAATCAGACCTGTTAAAGCAACTTAAGCTAATGTATTTTTTTTTCCAAATTCCAATTACTCTACACTACCACCTGCAGGGCAAAATTAGACCCAGCAGGTGTTCTGCATAGAAACAAGCAGTGCCCTGTCTATTGATTATACTCCGGAACCATCTAGAGTGCCATTTATTAACCATACTATGGAACTATCTAGAGGAAAGCCTTCAGTCTTCCCTGATTTGTTCAACCTGAAATCTCTATTGTGGGATTTCCCAGGTTTCCTTTGTAGCCTTCATTTTCCCTAAGTCTCTACTACTGACAAATAATAAAACAGGTCATGCTGACTGTTGTTTTCTCAAGAGTACATCTTCAGTAAGGAACCCACGGAACCTGCCCACGACCACGCGTGGTACAGTGCTACCAGGAACCAATGGGAATTCCAGAGCTGGGCTAAACCCAACCACGGTTCCCTCCAATAGGGGATCAAGGAGCCCGGGAGACAGGCTGGGCAGGGACGGGTGAAGGAGAGACTGGAAGCCACACTGCGCAAGGACAGTCACTGTGAGATGAGCAGACCAGCAGGTGGCTCACTCTCGGTCTGGCCCTGGCCCCAAAGCTTCCCAGTTACTTCCTGCCTACGAGTCAATGTCCTCTATAAAATGAGGCGGTAGCTGATAATGGTTAAGGCCCTTTGTGGTCTAAAGTCTTACTTCGAGAGTATAACACATCAAACCCAAGGGTCAAAATACACGGGGTCAAGGGACTGAAAGCAGGAGGGGAACCTCCAGACCAAAGGAACCTTTGTTACCTGTGGCCGTGCCCAGCTCAACAGGAAGCCTTTATTCCTCTGACTGCCACAGGAGCCAGGGACACGGCGTCTGGGGGGCACGGCAGGCGGGGGTCTGGGGGTCACGGCAGGTGGGGGTCTGGGGGGCACGGCAGGTGGGGGTCTGGGGAGCACGGGAGGCGGGGGTCTGGGGGGCAAGGGAGGCGGGGGTCTGGGGGCACGGGAGGCGGGGGTCTGGGGGGCACGGGAGGTGGGGGTCTGGGGTCACGGCAGGCGGGGGTCTATGGGGCACGGCAGGCGGGGGTCTGGGGGGCACGGCAGGCGGGGGTCTGGGGGGCACGGGAGGCGGGGGTCTGGGGGCACAGCAGGCGGGGGTCTGGGGGGCACGGGAGGCGGGGGTCTGGGGGGCACGGCAGGCGGGGGTCTGGGGGGCACGGCAGGCGGGGGTCTGGGGGGCACGGCAGGCGGGGGTCTGGGGGCATGGCAGGCGGGGGTCTGGGGGGCACGGCAGGCGGGGGTCTGGGGGGCACGGCAGGCGGGGGCCTGGGGTCACAGCAGTCGGGGGTCTGGGGGGCACGGCAGGCGGGGGTCTGGGGGGCACGGCAGGCGGGGGCCTGGGGGCACGGCAGGCGGGGGCCTGGGGTCACAGCAGTCGGGGGTCTGGGGGGCACGGCAGGCGGGGGTCTGGGGGGCAAGGGAGGCGGGGGTCTGGGGGCACGGGAGGTGGGGGTCTGGGGGGCACGGGAGGTGGGGGTCTGGGGTCACGGCAGGCGGGGGTCTATGGGGCACGGCAGGCGGGGGTCTGGGGGGCACGGCAGGCGGGGGTCTGGGGGCACGGCAGGCGGGGGTCTGGGGGCACGGCAGGCGGGGGCCTGGGGTCACAGCAGTCGGGGGTCTGGGGGGCACGGCAGGCGGGGGTCTGGGGGGCATGGGAGGTGGGGGTCTGGGGGGCATGGGAGGTGGGGGTCTGGGGGGCACAGCAGGCGGGGGTCTGGGGGGCATGGCAGGCGGGGGTCTGGGGTCACAGCAGTCAGGGGTCTGGGGGCACGGCAGGCGGGGGTCTGGGGGGCACAGCAGGCGGGGGTCTGGGGTCACGGCATTCAGGGGTCTGGGGGGCACGGCAGGCGGGGGTCTGGGGGGCATGGGAGGTGGGGGTCTGGGGAGCATGGCAGGCGGGGTCTGGGGCCACAGCAGGCGGGGGTCTGGGGGGCACGGGAGGTGGGGGTCTGGGGTCACGGCAGGTGGGGGTCTGGGGGGCATGGGAGGCGGGGGTCTGGGGGGCACAGCAGGCGGGGGTCTGGGGAGCTCGGGAGGTGGGGGTCTGGGGGGCACAGCAGGCGGGGGTCTGGGGAGCACGGGAGGTGGGGGTCTGGGGGGCATGGGAGGTGGGGGTCTGGGGGGCACAGCAGGCGGGGGTCTGGGGAGCACGGGAGGTGGGGGTCTGGGGGCACAGCAGGCGGGGGTCTGGGGAGCATGGGAGGTGGGGGTCTGGGGGGCACAGCAGGCGGGGGTCTGGGGGGCACAGCAGGCGGGGGTCTGGGGTCACGGCAGGTGGGGGTCTGGGGGGCACGGGAGGTGGGGGTCTGGGGGGCACAGCAGGCGGGGGTCTGGGGGGCACGGGAGGTGGGGGTCTGGGGTCATGGCAGGTGGGGGTCTGGGGGGCACGGCAGGTGGGGTCTGGGGAGCATGGGAGGCGGGGGTCTGGGGGGCACGGCAGGTGGGGTCTGGGGAGCATGGGAGGTGGGGGTCTGGGGGGCACGGCAGGTGGGAGTCTGGGGTCACGGCAGGCGGGGATCTATGGGGCATGGGAGGTGGGGGTCTGGGGGGCACGGGAGGTGGGGGTCTGGGGGGCATGGGAGGTGGGGGTCACAGCAGGAGGGGGTCTGGGGGGCACGGGAGGTGGGGGTCTGGGGGGCACGGGAGGTGGGGGTCTGGGGAGCATGGGAGGTGGGGGTTTGGGGGGCACAGCAGGTGGGGGTCTGGGGGGGCACGGGAGGCGGGGGTCTGGGGGGCACGGGAGGTGGGGGTCTGGGGGCACGGCAGGCGGGGGTCTGGGGGGCAAGGGAGGCGGGGGTCTTGGGGCACGGGAGGTGGGGGTCTGGGGGGCACGGGAGGTGGGGGTCTGGGGGGCACGGCAGGCGGGGGTCTGGGGGACAAGGGAGGCGGGGGTCTGGGGGCACGGGAGGTGGGGGTCTGGGGGGCATGGGAGGTGGGGGTCTGGGGGGCACGGCAGGCGGGGGTCTGGGGGGCACGGCAGGCGGGGGCCTGGGGTCACAGCAGTCGGGGGTCTGGGGGGCACGGCAGGCGGGGGTCTGGGGGCACGGCAGGCAGGGGTCTGGGGGCACGGCAGGCGGGGGCCTGGGGTCACAGCAGTCGGGGGTCTGGGGGGCACGGCAGGCGGGGGTCTGGGGGCACGGCAGTCAGGGGTCTGGGGGCACGGCAGGCGGGGGTCTGGGGGGCACGGCAGGCGGGGGTCTGGGGTCACGGCATTCGGGGGTCTGGGGGGCATGGCAGGTGGGGGTCTGGGGGCACGGCAGGCGGGGGTCTGGGGGGCACAGCAGGCGGGGGTCTGGGGGCACGGCAGGCAAGGGTCTGGGGGGCACAGCAGGCGGGGGTCTGGGGTCACGGCATTCGGGGGTCTGGGTGGCACGGCAGGCGGGGGTCTGGGGTCACGGCACTCGGGGGTCTGGGGGGCACGGCAGGTGGGGGTCTGGGGGGCATGGGAGGTGGGGGTCTGGGGGGCATGGCAGGCGGGGTCTGGGGCCACAGCAGGCGGGGGTCTATGGGGCACGGCAGGCGGGGGTCTGGGGGGCACGGCAGGCGGGGGTCTGGGGGCACGGCAGGCGGGGGTCTGGGGGCACGGCAGTCAGGGGTCTGGGGGCACGGCAGTTAAAGCCTTCTAGGCCTGCAGCCCTCCCACCCCCCATCCTCCTCTAAGGGTCAGCAGGACAGCCAGTGCCCGTGGAGCTCACACTGAGCTCAGCCTGGGCCACCTGACCAAAGGCCAGGTTTCAGAAGGGAGCCAGTGTCCTCCCAGGAATCCACGCAGACCCTGCAGCAGGGCGAGGGCCAGGAGCATGGACACACGGGGATTTCTACTCCTCCATGCAGAAGGTTGAGCCACTGCTTTCTGCTCAACGTCAGTAGATATTCTATTCTAATCCAAGATGGCAGCATGCTTGCCTCTGTACCTGCACAGTTTACAGGCTAAAGTCACAGAATGGCTTCCAGACCATTCCAGGTCTTGAAACATAAAGACAAGAACTACAGTGCAGGCTAAGAGGACTCAACCTGAGCAGGCTCACACCTGTCATCAGGAAACTGAGCTCTGAGGATGGCAGTTCAAAGCCAGCCCAGACAGAAAAGTATCCAAGACTCTTATCTCCAATTAACCACCAAAAAGCTGGAAGTTGAGCTATGGCTCAAGTGGTAGAGTGCCAGCCTTGAGCATCAAAGCTCTGGGACAGTGTCCAGACTCTTGAGTCCAAGCCTCTGGACTAGCACAAAAAAAAACTAAATAAATAAAAGCCTTAAAGGATGATTGTAACCATGCGCCTCTTCTTGGGCAGCTGCGAATCACACGAAATCATCAGCCCACTACTTATCAGCACACGTCTTGGCACACAGGACACACTCTAACCACCATTTTGTTATTAGTTTTGCTGTATAAGCTCCTTACCAACAACCTGCCAATCAATACCAAATATAAAATGATTTATGCCAGAGTTCCTGCTGGAAACTCGAGGCCCCAGGCTTCAAATCCAGGTCTCCCGTTTGAGGCTGGCTTCCATCTGAGTTCACCTTCTTCTGGGCGCTGAGCCTTCCCAGCCTGTCTTTCGGTTGTTTTACTTCTGCTCACCCACCCAGACCATTCCCAGAGCTCCCATATATGTCCAGCCCATGGGAAACACAGT